TGCACGCCCTTTTATACCCAGAGAATCATGGGTTTTTCCCGCTCAAAGAGTAGTTATTATTTTATTACGCTTTATTTAGTATTAGTTTGATTAATAAAAATACGCTTTGATTTATTATTAATTAGTTTTTCACAAGTTTTCCCGTTAAATCGTATTTTTAATCATTTTTAGATACGCAAATTATAAGTGTTTTAATAGAAGAAATAATTAATCGCAAACAATACATAAAATAATAGCTAAAAATATAACGCAATTTATAATGAGTGAATAATTAATGATATATATAATATAAACATTTAAATAATAATTTATAATTACTTTGTTTCGAAGTATATCTCTTGTGTCTTTCTAACTAACGCGCGCGCCATTGATCAGTAAAGTACAGTCTCAGTAAAGTACAAGTTTCAATAAAATAGGGTACCTTAATCACCCCTCATTATTTTTCAACAACTTTTATAATTTGGTTGTGAAATATGAATGTATAGGTTGGATAAGATTAGATGATATACATATTTTCATATTTGAAATAATTTGGTTGTGAAATATGAATGTATAGGTTGGATAAGATTAGATTATATACATATTTTCATATTTGAGGAGCAGATGTAAAGGAAGGGTACTAAAATAACTGTAAGCAAAATATACAATATAAAAATAAAATATTTTATTGGACAGAATCAATAAAAGAATACCAACATTTGTTGCTAGGATAAGGAAAACTGCCAAAACCTTATCAGTATTCATAAAACAAAAATTACATTTATAAAATTCAACAAGAATAAAACTGAAAAACAATTTGTAATAGAATTTATAAAATAACATAACAGTGTAAATGAATATAATGTTTAAAATAACTTAAAATATCACAATTTGTCTTTGGCACAATAGCATTATAAAATAATAAATAACAAAATAATAATAATAAAAGGAACTAAAAGAATATTGCACAAATAATGTAAAATAAAATAAATAGAAGTTCTATGTAAATATATATTACTAAAAATTGCACAAATAATATAAAATAAAATAAATAGAAGCTCTAAGTAAACATATAAGCAAAAATATAACATATTACAAACTATCAGATGTGCATTTAGTGTCATACAAATTTTGCGCGTTATGCAGTTCGAGCTGTCGCGAATCTACTTCAAAATTAGCGCAATTAATATTTTTTGATTGAAAACTGGATCTAACTATACAAATTGAAGAAACCGTATCGTTAGATAATTGGTTTCTTTTTTTATTTTTTACGTCGGTGACAATAGAAAATATACGCTCAGCTTCGGCGTTTGAGTGGGGTAAAGAGAGAACTATTGCAACTAATGATTTTAAATTTGGAAACATCTTTTCCCCATCGAAATTTGTAACATCTAAAATACGTTTCCACATTTTATCTAAAGCTAAACCAATTAATTCTTTTTTATCGTCGTCATCAAAAGACGATGGTAAAATTCGCCATTCAAAAGCTAATTCTGTTACATCAATTAAATTACTGACACGTTTGGCGATAAGAGTTAAATCTTTAATTTTTTGTCTACCTTCATCGTATAAAGCTATTTTTGAATCTAAAAAATGCAATTGTTTAAAAAAAGGATCTTGTAAAGGTAGACGTACAAGCATCTTTCGAACTGCAGTAGTATAAAAATTCAAACAATTTAATCTAATTTGACGGGCAGATTCTACTTCTATAGATTCTAAATAATTTTCACATTCGCGGTGACATTATTATTATTATTATCATTATTGCAATCATTTATATCGAGCGAATTTACATTTCTACGGTGTACATTTGTTTTTTCATGACTGTCTATATTGGATTTGCTACATCTAATAGTTTTGTTACAAGCGATACAAAGCGCTCTACTTCTATCTACAGTAGGTTTTAACCATACTTTATAACTGTCGTTATCTAGCCATGCATAATTAAATCTACGGATTCTACGCTTTTTTACGGCACCTTCACCATTGTTAAATGCCATTATAATTAAATATGTATAACGTACCTCGTAACGGCTGCTTCTCTGCTGCTTTTCCGCCAACGACACTACGCCATCTAGTGGCGCCACTGAACACATACGCTGCGTACGCTCCTGCATTTCTCGCGCATGCGCGAAAAAACCGGTCCAATATCTCATCACTGCCCCATCCCATCACCACGCGAATTTTTATGGCGCGGTCGGTAATGGAATAGAAAAAGATATTAGAATTCAGATGCTTCTCTATTTATCGATTGGATTTAATATGATATTCCCGGGGACGTTACACAAATGTAAACACAAAATCGACACCTCGACTCGATAACTACAATGCTTGGGTTCCGATTTTGTTGCAGTTATCCAGTCTTTACTGTAATTTGATTATCTTGTATGTATTCCAGTTCCTCCAGAGTTGGAGGACATTGTAAGAATAATTTATTAAATATCTTAGCGATAATGATGAAATATATTTTCTTTTCGTTCACGTATCCACTGCATTTTTATTACCGCGTTTACCAGTCGTGGCATCCTGGCTATTAATTTTTTCAGTATTTTACTATGATCCTTTTTCCATTTTGATTCCAGTATTTTCCACAAATGTTTTTCTGACCTTTGATATTGTTTCCGAACTTCTCTGACCAGGTGGTCCCATAGTTTTTCTGTGGGATTCAAATCGGGTGATTGGGGTGGCTATTCCATTAGTTTTAGTTCTGTATTTTCTTGCATTTGCTGTAAGTAATTTCTTCATATTACAGAAGTATGTTTTGGGTTGTTATTGGTCATGAATGTGAAATTATAGCCAATAATTCAGTATCCTGATGGTATTGCACTTTCGCGGAGAATGTTCAAATACCCTTCTTTTCTTAATATACTGTTTATTTTTACCAAATCTCCGGTAAGATTGTTCCTAAAATATCCCCATATCATCTCAGAGCGACCTCCATGCTTCACTGTGGGCACAACACAACTGTCATTTAATTTTTCAGTGGTTTTCCAATGCACAAAGACACGACGCTTGGAACCGAAAACTTCAAACTTTGATTCATCGGTCCACAGCACCTTTTCCCAGTCTTTTACTGACCAATTTTCATAGCATTTAGCTCACTGTAGCCGCTTCTTTTTATTTTGTTTTCCTGACAGTGGTTTTTTCATCGCAACACATCCTCTAAGGCAGGGATACGCAACTAGATTTTTCGACGGGCCAAATGTAAAATTTGAATGTTATATCGCGGGCCACAACAGTAAAATTAAGAATTTACAACCTATATTTTTGTCTTCTTTGAATTATCCAGGAATCACCACGTGGAGGTGAGACAAAGTCGATTCCCATTTTTTTTAATTTTTTTTGTTTTTTTTTTAATTTTAATTTTTTTTGTTTTTTTTTATTTTTTTAATTTTTTTGTTTTTTATTTTTTATTTTTTTTT